GGTATCAATTCACTTTAAATTTGTTGTTTCTATATATGTATATTGCTATCTCTCCTATTAGATTATAAATTCACTGCAAGAAGTGGTTGTTGCTTTTTTTGTATTTATATTCCTAGTGTTTATCACAGTCCTTGTTAGTAGTATGGACTTAATAGCTACTTGATTCATTGATTGATTGATTGACTCTTTGAGCTAGAAAATGGAGGGTGGTGACCTAGACTAATTGAAAAATTAATCTCCATATCACTCAGCCTCTCATTGTTGAAGTGAGCATCCACATTCCATTTCAATGCACTTTGGTGAGTGTTTATTTGAAGAAAAATTGCTTATCCATTGTGGATAGCTGTTATTACTGAGCTGCCCTCCATGACGCATAGTCCAAATTTACCATTTTGCTGGTCTCACCTTCTGATTCTCATTCTTCCCTTTCAAGCCAAAGAGGATGAGTTTAGTACTTCTGTCACATGACAGCCATTCAAATAATTAGACAGAACTAATATGTTCCCCTGAGTTTTCTCTTCTACAGAAAAAACATCCACAGTTCCTTCAAAATTGTGTTTTTTTTCTTATAGCATGACTCAAAGTCTCTTCCTCATCATGATTGTCTTCTTCTAGTCACTTTTCACTTTATCACTGCCTTCCTTAAAATATGCTACCCCCCAGATCTGAATATCATATTTCAGTCATGGCTGGACCAGGGCAGAGGATGGGAAGGAATAATTCCAGAGCCGGAAGCTCTGCTTCTCTCAGTGCAGTCAACATAATACCCAGATACTCTGAGACAAACCATTGCCTAATGATGACCCTTTCATTGCATCCTTACAAAGTCATTACTGAATCTTAAAGACCTTTCGTTTTTCACTGTTGAACTTCAAGGAGACATAGTTAGTAAAGGCCTACCTTTAAAGCGATGAAGAACTAAGTTCATGTGGAATTATAGATTTAGAGCAGGAGGTGACCTCAGAAACCATTGAATCCTACTCCTTGGTTTTACAGATGAAGAAACCGAAATTGAAGATGGTTGAGTAATTTGCCTGAGATCATACAGGTAATGGATTTCAGAGGTGGGTATTTGAATTGGTATTAATGATACGACACATTTTAAATCTGCCTAGTGAGATATAAATATATGTATACATATACGTTTGGTGTAGGTACCTAATATGTATATGTATATATGTATATGTGTGTGCTGTCTCCCCCATAAGAACATTTGTTCCTACACGGCAGCTACTATTTATTTCTTCTTCTATCCTGAGGTTTATCATAGCACTTAGCACACATAAAGCACTTAATAAATGCTTTTAGATTGATTTATACTTAACCTCTGATTATTAGTTACAGACGTTGCTAAGTTGTAGCAGTAGGAAGATTTTTTGTAGTTGGAAGTTCCCTATACCAATAATGTCACAGGTCTATATACCAATATCAATGCCCCCCAAAAAAGGAAAAATACTATCTTATTAGGTTTAGCCTAAAGATGAGTGGAAAAGAGCAGCTAGGTGGCACCATAGAGCAGAAAGCACCAGGCCTGGACTTGGGAAGACTCATGTTCCTGAGTTCAAATCCAACCTCAGACACTTACTAGCTGTGTGGCCTTGGCAAGCTGCTCGATCCCTTATTTGCCTCAGTTTCCTCATGTGTAAAATGGAAATAATAATGGCACTGATTCTCCCGGGTTGTTGTGAGGATCAAATGAGGAAATTTGCATAATGTACTTTGCAAACCTTAAAGTGCTATAGAAATCCCATATACGTGTGTATGTATATATGTATATGCATTATATGTATGTATGTATGTATGTATGCATGTGTGTATGTGTATGCATACATAAATACTTACAAGTATATGTTGATATGTCCACGTGGCCCATATACGATGCCCCAGTAAGATGTAGCTTCTTGAGATCAGTCACTGTTTCTCTTACTGTCTGTATATTCCTAGTGCTGAGCACTGTATCCAACATATAGTCATTGCTGAGTAAACGCCTGTTAATTAGCTCTTTTGATTGTTAGACTCAGCCCTGGTCAAATCCCAGCTTCATTCCAGAATTGAGACCTGGCCACCACGTGGTAGGACAGATATTGACAAACTGTAGAATGTCTAGACTTAGGGTGACCAGGATAATGAGGAGATCTAAAACCATGACCTACCCCAAGCAGCAGCAGGAGGAGTGGGAGCCATTTTAATTGGGTGCTGCCTAAAATTTCCCAACAGGGTCAGCTATGTGGCACAGTGGATAGAGCACCAGCTCTGGATTCAGGAGGACCTGAGTTCAAATCCAGCCTCAGATACATAACACTCAGTAGCTGTGTGACTCTGGACAAGTCACTTAACCCCAATTGCCTCACCAAAAAACAAGACCAAACTAAACTAAACTTTGCAGTACTCAAAGCTGGCTGAAGAAGTGCTGAGCTCCTCTCTTCAGAGGTCTTCACCTAGAGGCTGGATGACAATTTATTGTATCTCTTAGAGTGGGGATTCTTTTCATTCTCATATTGGACTAGAGGGCCACCACAGTCCCCTCTAACTCTCCAGTTCTATGGTTCTATGAACCTGAGTTAGCTGAGAAGACTTTGGGGAGTGGACATGGTGACTTCCATATTTATCAAGTGCAAGAGAAATTAGGTATATTCTATGTGATTCAAGGAGCAGAATGGAATTCCAGGGAAGTAGACTTGGGCTCACTATTGGAAAAGATTTCCCCCCGATCACAGGTGTTTGGAGAGGCTACAGACTGCCCTGGAGATTCCTGCAGGATAGACCATGCAATGGCCGCAGATAATGCTACAGTCTCTCAATCAATCCTCAAGCATTTATTGTCCACTTCCCAATGCCACAAACTGTGTAGACAGAGATTCCTGCTTCCGGGGGGACCTCACTAAATGATCCAGACAATCCAATTCCCATCACAACACACAAGTTCTTGAAACCTGGCAGTTTTCTGACACTGCTCTCCCCCTTCTCAGAATTCCCTCACCCTTCTAAGATTTTAGTTCTGCCACACAATTTTTAAAATCTTTTCACTGTCTTTTCAATTAATAATCATTTATTTTCTCTCCCTTTCTCCCCCCGCCATGAAAAAAGAAAAGAAAGAAATTATCATTTGAGCATTGACTATCTTAGTAGTTGGGTTTTTTTAATGGATTAATGAAGGATGGACTAAATCTTGGCACCCCAAATAGATTGTAAGCCCTTTGAGGCTAGGACTCTGTGTTCTATTTTTCCTGGCTTTATAGTCAGTATTCAGTCCAGGCAGTTAGATTCAGAGCCAAATTCTGATTCTCACACTTACTACCTATGGGGAAGGGGGAAGGGAACACGCATTTATTAGATATGTATACTGTGTCAGACTCTGTACATATTATATCATTCAATCCTTAACAACAATGCTGTCATGTAGGAGCAATTATGATCACTATTTCATAGATGAGGAAACTGAGGCAAGCATAGGCTAAGTGATATGCCCAGGGGTACACAGCTACTCAGTGTCTGAGGCTGGGAATTTAAACCCAGTCTTTCTGACTCCAGGCTCAGTGCTCTATCCATTGTACTACTTATGGTCTTTATGGGACTGCCAACAAGAAACATAACTCCTGTGAGCCTCAGTTTTCTTATCTATAAATGGGGATAAATATAATAGCACTTAAATCACAAGGTTGTTGGAAGGCTTAAGTGAAATGATATCTGGTAAGTGCTTTTGTGAAACTTAAAGCCCTAATGGCATGTAAAGGCTGGTAGACTCTAAGCTCACTGAGGACAAGACCTTTTTTTTTTTTATTTATGCCTTTGTATCCCCGGTTCTTAGGTCAGTGCCAGGTGTATAGAAGGTACTTAATAAATATGTAGTGAATTGAATTGAAAGTCCTGTATAAATGTCAATTGCTATCATTATCATTATCATTAAAACATAATTGTTGACCGATTAAGTGGGAACTATTGCTGAAGAGAAACAAGAGGCTTCCAAGGACATGATGACTGTGTGGCTGTTGGCATCAAAATCTGAGGCAGGAGAAGAGCTGGGGGCAGAAATGACCTTGGCCTCAGTTGGCTTCTGGACAACTGATGATCCGGCTAAGAGTACTTTGTTTTAAACGTCCATTTGTAGGAACAAACCTCCCTTCCCAATACCAGAATGTCAATACTGCCGCCTGCTGGATACTTACAGCATAGCAAGAGCTCTATTAAGCTCAGTTAAAAAAAAAAAAGCCTCCAGTGAGACTATTATCTGATGATCGTGGACCTGCCTCTTTGGAAGGGTTCCCAGGGTGGCTGCCAGGCAGTCTGGACTCCACCCCCAACTCCACTCTAGTGAAATGTAAGCTCCTTAAAGGCAGGGACTGTAGCACTTGGGTCTTGTATTCAAGTCAACATTTATTATTCACCTCATTTGTGCCAGGAAGTGTGCTAAGAGCTAGAGATACTGGAAAAAAAGAAAAGAAAAGAAAAGAAAAGAAAAGAAAAGAAAAGAAAAGAAAAGAAAAGAAAAGAAAAGAAAAGAAAAGAAAAGAAAAGGAAAGAAAAGGAAAGAAAAGAGAAAAGGAAAGAGAAAAGGAAAGGAGAGGAAAGGAGAGGAAAGGAGAGGAAAGGAGAGGAAAGGAGAGGAAAGGAGAGGAAAGGAAAGGAAAGGAAAGGAAAGGAAAGGAAAGGAAAGGAAAGGAAAGGAAAGGAAAGGAAAGGAAAGGAAAGGAAAGGAAAGGAAAGGAAAGGAAAGGAAAGGAAAGGAAAGGAAAGAGCCCCACCTTTGAAGGAATTCATGATCTAAGTAGGGCCAATACCCAACACAGTACCTGACAGACACATAGTAGGTGCTTAATAAATGTTTTTGCAATTGTTCAATATTTAATGTTCTAAACCCACAAATCTTCCACCCAAACTGGGCCACCTCCAACTCTAATTTCTAACAGTAATTCTGACCTGCCTGCCCCAGGTTGATGACTAACCATCATCCTCACCCTCCATTAGAGAAGGAGAAAGCTAGGAAGAGAAAACAGACTTACTTCATCATCACAGCTAATGGAGCATCTGCCGTCCAGAGAGGCACACTGTAAAGGGAAGACACAGGAGGGAAACATGTCACTTGGGGTCTCTCTAGGGTGGTTCAGAAGTGATTTGATGTGAACTGCCAGAGTCCAAGGTTGCTAAAGACCCTGTAGGGAGAGTCTCGCAGCTGAATCCTGCCCTTTTCACAAGGCAAGGACTCAAGGAAGACAGATCTCTCTGTCCTCTGTAACAGAATAGGAAGTAATGTCTTCAGCCAAATGTTGATAGAAATACAATTCTCATTTTTTTTTTACCTGTGAGGGAAGTTTCAACAGGATCTACCATTCCCTAGTTCCATCTCACTAACCCATGTTTAATACTTCTCAGTTCATTCTTTTATATCCAGGCTCTGCTTCTCCCTACTAATGTGACCTGTGAACAAATTTCTAGTCCTCTGTTTCCTCATCTGTAAAATAGGCTGGTTGGACCAGATTAGCTTGGAGGTCCTTCCAACTACTGGCTATCTTCATTTTCAGAACCTTGAGACTTCATCCCCTTATTATTCCCAACCTCTATCCTCAGAGACCAAAATGCTGCTGATGCAATCTAGGATTTTCTCACTGCCTAAAGGCAAAGAATGCAGGAGGATGGCAGCAGCTAGTGCTTGTAATCACTAAGTTACACCAGGATATTTGGACATGAGAGAATGATAACAACATCAGCAACAAGCATTCTTCTTCTTCTTCTTCTTCTTCTTCTTCTTCTTCTTCTTCTTCTTCTTCTTCTTCTTCACATTTCCATATGGCTCATGGTTTGCAAAGCACTTTTCATATTTTTATCATATTTGGTAAGAAAAGTTAAAAAAAATTCCCTCTGATTCCTAAGGAGATGAAGAGAAAGTTACATGGGAAGTATACTACCTTATCTGACACGGAAGCTAGCCCCAAAAAGGAGGTTTAAGGAGTCATTCCCATTTGGAAGGACACAATTTGTGCTGCCCTTGGGCCAGCCACCATGACATTGCCCAGAATGAGTGGTTTCATCTTCTGAACATCCTTTTCTCATGCAGTGAAAAGAAGGAATCTAGATCCTTGGTAGTTTGGGGTTCTGCAAACATTCATTTGGATATCTGACACTTCTCTAGCCCTGTAGAGCCAAATGGGAACCCCTATATAACAACAGAGTTGTTAATGCCTCAGTACACTGATTATAGCTTACCTGTCTGCTGGCAGTCCAGAACTTCCGCTGGAAAAATTCAAGTTTCATCTGAATACCTACAGCTGGTACAAATTATAAATAAAATAAAACGTTACAAATCTTTTTACACAATGATCTGAGATTATCATAGAAAATTGCCCATCCCAGCATAGTAAAGTACCTCTATGCAGGCAACAGTAGAGCAAAGAAACATGAAAATGATGATTGTGTAGTGATGCCTAGGAGGTTTATCATCTTCTGAGTAGGAAACTTTCATATTCCTGGAATTCAAAGGGCTCCTTGGTAGAATAGGCCGAGGACAGAGCAGACAGCTCCTCAAGAGACAGAATCCAAGGAGGCTGCCCCAAATACACATACCTGCTGCCACCCCCAGTTCATTAGTATTGAGAGGTGACATGGGCAGTAGGTATGGTGAGTGCCTGCCAAATAAAGGGTGGCTGAATTTTGAGTTTAAATGTTAATAAGAGTGTGTGCATTTTTTTGGGGGGGGGTGCATGGGAACTTCTCCAATCTTTGGCGTACATTCTGAAAATTCAGAAGTATAGTCCTTAAGAATAAGGCTTGTTTAATTTGAACCCCAGCTCCTAGCCTCATGACTAGCATACAGGAGGTGTTTAGTAAGTGCTTACGGATTAATTTAATGCAAGTGGAGTCAGAAGAGACAGAGATTCAGAGATGTAAAGGACAAAAGCCAAGACTTAATCAATAAACTTTTATTAAATATCTATTTCTAATTAGTATGTTATATTACATTAATCTATTATAACACTCCAGTCATTGAGGTAAGCACTAGGGATACAAAGAAGAAGTACAATGATCCCTGCCCTGAAGGATCTTACATTCTAATAGGAGGCAGCATGAAGACATATGTAATGTGTAAATACAATGTCGTTTTGTAAATAACTGAAAATCAGTTGGGTTTTTTTTGTTTGTTTGTTTGTTTTGACCAAAGCATGACTTCCCTTTTCAACATGTTGACCCAGTGTTCAGAGTATCTGAGGGGAGATCTCTCCAGTGATGGGGATTTCCTTCATTTCCAAGGTGTCCCATTCTGCTTCTGTATGATTCTAACCATTAAGAAGTTTTCAAGCCACTAAACTAACCTGGGACCTCACCCCTTTCACCATCCTCAATCCCCTCAAATCCATACACACACTTCATTGCTTTGTGCTTGAGAATCTGAGAAACAAAGAACATTCACTACCTACAAATAAGACCCCAAAATAATGTTCTCTTATTTCCATTCTTTGTGGGATCACAATCTAATCAACAGAGAAATTCTTCTAGCAAGTCATCTGGATAGCCCATCCATGTTTTCCTATTCTGTGTAAACACTATTTAAATTCTGCTATAAATCTTCCATGGAAAATCTACTCCAAGTGCTAGAGACCTCGGTTCAGGCAGTCTTAATCTTTTTTGTTCATGTGTCCAAGAGCCAATGGACCCTGGTTTAAAACCATGTTATTCTAAATGCACTAAATGACAAAGGCGAATAATTATATTGAAATTATATACATATATATATATATTTTCCCCCATGCAAGATTATAGACTCTCTGAAATCTATCCACAGGAGTTCTGTGGACCTTAGGTTAAGGGCTGCTGCAACAGGGCATTAGCATTCCATGAATATCAAGGCAGTTTTATTCCCTCCTATACTCACTCTCACTTTGACAACAGGCCAGGCCATCTCCCTTTCTGATCAGACATTATCTGGATTATGTCTTTGACACTAATTCTTGTATACAGGTAATTGCTGGTTATATGCTGCAGCCTCCCTGGTCCCACTCTGTACCTTTCCATTCCCCATCAGATAGTCTGACATTTTTATTCTTGTGGTATTCCATGATTCACAGCCACAGAGTATCATGAAAAAACTTTAGTTTGCCTCCATTATGTAGGATGTCCTGTGCAGAATTCAAATGGAAATTGTTTTTGCTTCCCTACACACATTGTTTTTTGGGGTGATCAAGCCCAGGTACTCTTCTGGGAGTCTTCAGAGAGAATCAAAAGAGATTGTTCTAACAAAGATGTCCAATGACCAAATGGATGAAGATAGATGCCTGTCCATACTGAAGCATGCAATGAGATAGAAAAACCATTGAATTAGGCCATCGGTGTTTATTTCCTAAATAATGTGTGAAAGACACTGAGATGGGTCCAGAAGGACTTCCAGGAGGAAGACTGATGCAATTGCATCTGGGAAATGGTCTGGCACATCTAATAATCCCCAGCACTAAAACATAACTTCCATGAAATGCACTAATAATACCCATTACTAAGGAGTTACCACTCAGATCACTGATTTCACTTTCCTAAAACTCAGCAAAAACTCATTTGTTCTTTTTTCTTTCATTCAACACACATCTGCAGAGTGCCTCCTGAGGGCTCAGAGCTGAAGATGAGTTACTTATGTTAAATGTTAACCAGAAAATCCCTTGGAGCACCACGTTCTAAAATCCAAAGGCTGTTCTTTATCTTTTATCAAACCTCATCTTACCAAATGACTACATGCCGGCACCATGGCAGGCCCTCTAGGCATATTGGGCACTAGCCACTTTCAAGAAAACCCCTTGGCTAATGCCTCGTCTGGTTTACACCTGGCTTAATTAAAAGACAAACTGCACCAGTCACTCCCTTATACTCTGCATGTGAGACAAAGGATTGAAACATTACTTTTTTCCCCTCCCTAATGAAAAGGTGATTCTAAAGAAAACACAACTTGGAATCAGAGGATCAGATAGCTTTGATGATGCTCTCACTGTTTTATAATTTATTTACAATGAAAATAACTGCATTCTCTTGCATATGCTCTCATCCAGACTGGGAAGAATGCCATACCTAACTGAAGACACATGAAGATTGGACAGTGACAGATTTAAGCCTCTGTCTTTGCTCTGTGACCCTGGATAAAACAGAAGCAAAGGACCATAACTCTAAGCCAAGAACGGACCTCAGAGGTCATCAAATCCAGTCTTCTTCTTTTACAGATGAGGAAACCAAGGCCCAGAGAGGCTGAGTCATTTGTGCCAATTCAATATAGCCTGCTAGTACGAGAAAAAGATTGGAATCTCTGATGCCAGGGCTAATGCTTTATCTATTATACCCCATTTTTTGAAGATCACTTTCCTCTTTTGTAAAGTGAGGATGATAAGAGAACCCGTTTGACAGGGTTGTTGCTAGGCACAAATGAGTTAAGATTTAAAAGCCTAATGACTCTGAGTAGATGTAATCATCATCAACAGGTACTTGTAATGAAGACATCAGAAATTACGCAGAAAATTTCTTGAAAATCTCAGATGCATAACACCCAAGGAGAAGCCCAACAGATGTTTTTTCCCAGGGATTTTTCCAGTCTTGATGTCACCAAGCTTTCCTTAAGAGATCTCCAGCAATGATTCTATTTGGGATATCGAATCTTCTATTCCACCACCTGAATGCTTCCTTCCTTCCCTTCAGCCCCTCATCTAGTGGCTGCCCCTGCCCCCATTGAACCTCACTAATGAAGCTCTTCCCTCTTCCCTGTGTGTGCTTCCACATACTTGGAGGCTGTTATCATCTTCCCCCCTTGCTCACTGCTTCCCCAGCTCCACACGGGCCTTTCATCTTTCTCCATGAGTCAATCCCTCCATGCCATTAATCATTTTTGTTGCTTGTCTCTGATCTCTCTCCAACATGCCTACATCCTTCTGGTCTGGGTGCCCCGTAACTGCATGCAGCCTTCCAGGTGCTTTGTTCCCCTCACTGGTCCATAGCATGAAGCTGTTTCCAAAGCACCAAATCCCCTCCCCCCATCAAATAAAACTGGCTTCAATAATCCCAGTTTTCCCTGTTTGGCCATTCCTTCTGTGCCATTCTGTCCCCATCAGTAGCACCCTACCCTACTCCCAATGGCATAGTCTGACTTTCGAGTGCTTTCCTCTTGAAAGGTCTCTACAACAAAAGCAATCCCATATGGTGCAATGAGCCCAGTTCTTATAGCTAACTTAATGGCTATAACAGACTTCTGTGGGTTTGCCTTGAAATTAAGAGAAGGATCTTCTACCTTCAATGGCTCCATATTACCCTTTGGAAAAAAATAGAAACCTGTTATGAGATAATGCATGCAAAACACTTTAAAACTTCAGTGCACTATGTCAATGCTATTATTGTTGCTACTTTTATTGTCATTCCAGATTGTACAATATCTTTAGATTGCCTACCATAATCTTACTCCAGCTTGCCTTCCTAACCTTAATTTACATTGTTTCCCTGCGTGCACTCAAAGTCAAACTGGATTCCTAGCTATTCTCTGACTTCAGCATGCTGTCTCCTGCCTCTGTACATTTGCAAATCTTCCTTTGTGACAAATGCCAGAAATGCTAGCCTCCTTCATCTCAAAATCTTCTTCTTACTAACTCATATGGCCTTCCCACAAAAAGCCTGGCAAATGCCCAGCCCAGCCCCTGCTCATCCCCTCTTAAGCCCAAAGGTATTCCTCCAACATTTACAGAGTATTTTGTTTGGATTTCTCCTTTGCTCTCAATGCCCTTGGCATAATATCTGAATCGTTTGTGTACATGTCATCCTCCTACCTCCTGGTCAACCAATGCAAGGCTTTTGTATGCCTAATCAATCCCAAAGCACTTCCTAAGCACCTTCTATGTCCTAGCTGCTAGAGATACAAGTATAAAAAATGGAATAGCACAAGAACATTGCACTAGGACCAGGTAGGATTTATACCATGAATTCAGGGCTAGTTCAATATTAGGAAAACAATCAGTGTAAGTGATCGTATCAACAACAAAGCTAACAGAAACCACATGATCTTCACAATAGATGCAACAAAAGCTTTTGACAAAATACAGTGCCCATTCCTATTAAAAACACTACGGGAATAAACGGGGTCTTCCTTAAAATGATAAGTAGCATATACCTAAAACTTTTAGCAAGCGTTCTATGTAATGGGGATACGCTAGAAGCAATCCCAGTAAGATCAGGGGTGAAGCAAGGATGTCCACTATCACGACTGTTGTTTCATGGTACTAGAAAAATTAGCTTTAGCAATAATAGAAGGGAAAAA